AATAGAATAGAATAGAATAGAATAGAATAGAATAGAATAGAATAGAACCAGTTGTTAACATTCTAAGCAGTTCGGAGAACCGGTTGTTAGAAGAAATTACTGGTCTAATCCTGTAAGGAAGGCAGGAAGGAAACATTCTGGTGTTGCTTACAGAAACTGCCTCTCCATTAACCCTAATTACATTCTTGGCAGGACTAGACTTCCTGTCTCAGGAACATCTCTGGAGTTTTTTCCCCCTCCTTTGCTGGTACTTTGCTTGTGTGGGGTGACCATTCAAAGTTACAATGGCACTGAAAAAAGTGACTTATGACCCTTTTTCACACTTACGACTGTTGCAGCATCCGCACAGTCATGAGAGGCCAGGTGAGGAGATGCGTGCCTCGATGTGAGTGATGTTGAGTTGGCCACACCCAGCCAATAACATGACCACTAAGCCATGTCCACCCAGTCACATGACCACCAAGCCACACCCACCACCTAAGCCACACCCACAGAACTGGTTGTTAAAAAAATTTAATCCCACCCTGACAACACTTAATGATAGTCATAGGGTACAATAAACAATTATACATGTATTAACTGCAGCTAGAATTGTATTTGCACAAAATTGGAAAAGTAATGAGATCGCTATAGATGAGAATGTTGATTAGGAAAATATTAGAATATGCAGAAATGAATAGATTAACGCTTGCTATAAAAGAGAAAGAACAAACTGAATATTATATGACATGGATATTATTTTACAGATGGTTGGAGAATAAAAATAGAAGTGAGAAATAAATAGAGATTAGTGAAATAAAGAATATATATTAAGATAGAGATGTAAACACTACAGTGACTTATTATATATAATTATTAAAGACGACCATACTCAATATAATATAATATTTTCATTAGGAGATATGTTAAGAGGAAGAAATGAATAGAGTTATATGCTGATTATTAATAGTGTAAATTAGAGAATTATTATCAATGTAATGAATATTGTAAACTTTGATTATAATTGCACACAGATATTTGTATCCAGATGACAAACAGTTTAATGGAATATGATACGCTCAAGTTAAAAATAATAAATAAATAAATAAATAAATAAATAAAAAATAAAAATAAATAAAAATAAAAATAAAAAGATAGGTTCATGGCGAAAGGGCTACCCAGAACTACCAATCTTCATGGGTGCATCTTAGATAGCACCCTCCTCCTCATATTCAAGGCTGCACCATTGGTAGCATCCATCCTCATGTTCATGGCTCCATCTTAGCAAAAATAAAATATAACAAAACCAGCTTTCCTTTGCTCCCCTCAAGACCTCAATCTCGTTTTTTTTCCCCACAAAAATCTTAACTATGGAAGAATAATTCCACCGCTCCCTGTCTCGCGCGCGCCTTCACTCCCCTTTCTGCCGTGTTCCATGCACCTGCTTAAAATTACTTTTTAAAATATACGCTATCGGTGCAAACTGTAATTGAACAGCGGATCCATAACGCATGCTGATAGCTAGTGGAGACGTGGGGGTCCATCTTAAGATGTCAGGAAGGCAAGTAAAAATATCAGGAGGGGGTAAAGGGGATACAAATCTGACTGACGGGCAAGGGTGATTTTTTTTTTTCAAAGAAGTGCTGAATTTAATGTATAATTTCAAATGGGCCAGAATCACATTATGCAAAGAAAATAGACCTGAAAAACAGTAAGTAGTCCAGATTTGCAAATAAAAGTATGATAGGTAGGTAGGTAGGTAGGTAGGTAGGTAGATAGATAGATAGATAGATAGATAGATAGATAGATAGATAGATAGATAGATAGATAGATAGATAGATAGATA